CCACTCGAGAGGCTCATTCCAAGTTTCCTTTTGCCATTTTTATTTATCGCCCTCGAGTGTTGGTGTTTGCTGTTGGTTTTTGTGTGCGCTCCGTGTGGTTGTGCGGTTATTGTTATTATTTATATTATTTTTGATAAATGTTTTTGGGAAATTTGTATTTTATTGGTTGTTTATCGACAATTAGCGGTTTTGTGTGCCGAGTTTCCTTTTGCATAATGTAAACATAATGTAAACAGTCGGCTTTTGCTCTCTCCTTTCGATGCCTTGTTGATTTATTTGCAAAGTAGAAAAACAATAAGGATTCTACTCAAGGAAAGTGGCTACTTGAAGAGCAAATATCAATAAGGTTCACAATGTAGTAGGAGGAAATAATTAGGGTACAAAGAAAATGGAAACTGCAGAGAAAAACTGGGCCATATACGCAGAGGACCGTAAACATTCTGCATAAATAATAAACAGAAGTACAATTTATTGTTCAACCGGCAAAGAAGGCGAAAAGTCGAAAGCTAAAGGCCTCTTCATGCGGTTTTGCACTTCGGCAAAGGCATTAAAAAGTATGCAGAGTATATATACCATGTATATAGTATACGTGGATGCACAGGGAGAAAGGGAGGGCTAATCGGTCGGTTGGTTGGGAAAAGCATCTGGAAAATTTGTTCACATGACGCACGCAGCTGCCGGCGCTGCAAAGTGCGAGATTTTCCTTTGCTTTGCCCATTCTCGTCATTTTTTTTTTGGTATTTTTGCGCTTTTGTTTACATTTTGATTCAGCTATTTTCAGAAGCCATAAACAAAACAAAGGAAAACGTGCAGAAGACCAAGAACAGGCAGAAAAGAGCCGAAGGAAATCGGAGCCGGGGGAAAATATATTTGTATATATATATAAATACATATAGATATACATATATATCGGGGGAAACCTAATGAGCTGTGCAGCTTTTGAAGTTGCCTCATTACGGTGATCGAATTGAACGGAATCGAAAATCGATCGATAGTCAAATGGAAGACCCACAATTAAGGCAGGCAGCCATAGATAAGACCTGGCCTCATGGACTCGTGGAATGGGCATGGACACGCTCGAGGGTGTGCGTTAATCACGCAAGTAATTCTAATGCCCGACCCCTGTGCCGCGCTCCTGCTCCATTGCGATAAGTTTTCCGCCGCCCGAATGGGGGTGAGTTTTCCCTTTTCCCTCTCGCCCGTTTTCCCTCTCGCCCGCTTTTCTGCTTTCCCGCTTCTGGCACAAAGCATAATCAGCGCTGAACATGCCAAGCACAACAAAAGAAGCAAAGACTGTTGTTCGCTCGCCGGGTTTGGGGGTGCAGTCTGCGCTCCCTGTTAACAAAGCTATAAAACTGTCACCTCTCATAATCAAGAAACTCAAATTAAGGCACAGAGCAAGGTCCGAGTCGCGTGTCCTTCGCCATACATAATAAAAATTCAAATCATTTCAGCCCAGCATAGCGGAATTAAGAACTAAAAGGATTTCATTAGTAGTTTTTCCGGGGGGAATCTGCTTCAAAGCGAAGTAAATGAGTTCATTGGCATGTAGATTGTTAACTTCTCTTAACGATGCACGTTGATTTGGTGACCGTTTGCCAGTCTAATCACTTTATAACTCAGCACGATTTTGGTATTTGTGAAAAACTATATTTGGTACATATATCAATTTAATATCAAAATGAGTAGAAGGAATTAAGATTACTAATCACCAATTCCAATCGCTTTTCCTAATCAATTTGAAGCACATTCCCACAATGGAAGACCTCGTGCTAACCCTTCCGATATTGGCCTATGAAAGTTTCATTGGCTAGCCTATTTTCGCTGCGCCGTGGCTTCTTGGGTAGTATTTATGATTATTAGGCTGGGCAATTTGCCGACTTAAGCAATTACCAGCAAGCTAACAAAAGGCGTTGGCGCTTTTCAATATTTATACGCCTGTCACCCCCTCCACAGCACAGCAGACCGCACCACACCACTCCCATTTTCCTTTTGGCCCGTCTAATGGTATGTAAATGCTTGACGGCTTACAAAACACCGAGCCAAGCATAACAAAAGGCGACCACAACCCGTTATTATTATTGTTGCATACGTCAAGGCGTTCGCGCTGTGCGGTCTGTCTTGTTTTGCCTGCGACTTTTTGTTTCTTCTTCTGCTTTGTTTTCTCAAGTAATTTGCAGTGGCATGTAATTTAATGCGCTGCATGTGTGAGTGAGTTCCTGGGTGTATCTGTGAGTATGTGTTAGCCTCGTCGAGCTGTTGAATGCGGCCCCAGGTGGGCAATTGTGGGAGGGGCCGTCAAAAGGTAGGTATATAACGCCAGCGGCTGACAAGCCAGGGACTCCTTCGTTCGGACTCCGCAAGATTATTGGTTTCAAGGGTAAAATTATGAAATGAAGTGGAAAATTAAGTGTATGATTGTGCCAAGTGGCAATTGCCAAGAAAGCGCTGTCAAAGGAGAGGAGACTTCAAGTGGAACGGCATAGTCTCTGAAGGATAATCATAAAAGGGTACTGATGAGCGGAACTAAATGGAAAGGGGCTGGGAAAGGAACTATATATAAATCTCTCTATATATATAGATTTAAAAGAGGATATAAGGGAAATCCCTGATTGCAGAGAGGATATTGAAGCTATAAAACAATCTATTTTACGAACTCTGCTATAAAGTGAACCTACAGCAAATTGTAATATGCATTTTAGGGAGCAATCTACCAAAATTACCTTTAAAGAAACTTTTTGTTGGTGTCTTAGCGTGTGCTTGTATTATCAGTCCTACAATAAAATCAGACTACTAAGATTGCCGTAGGTAGCTTTCCCAAAAGAAAACTAACTTGCGACCCAAGGATATAACTTCCAGCGGAAAGTTCGTGTCTCTGACTCATGGCCCAAAATGCAAGAGCCCCCGCTCGAAATAAAATGAAAGCAAAGAAAAGGACCCCAAAGAACTGTGTCAACGACTTTGCTCCACTTAACCATTTAACGAGCAAGTTAGCTAACACGTAATGCCAGCAACAAAAACAACTACAACTGAGCAGCAACAAAAGGATGTGGAAAAATTCAAAAACAAGTGGCACAAAATATTGAACAACAATAGGATGGAGCAGGACAGAGAGCAGCGAAGCAACAGAGAACGCATGTGTCATCATTAGAATAGAAGGAGAGTAAGGATAACGCAGCGGAGTGGCGAAGGACTTTCGAACATCCCTGCCAAGGATAAAGGCAGACAGGACTTGCGGCCCGGAGAGCGGGCGGTCCTGGGAGTACAGGACGCGGGACGCACGCACAAAGGACAACAAAGAACGCCGGCGACGTCATCTAACGCAGCGCACAGCCCACAGCACACAGCACGCACCACCCAACCACCCGCACCACCACCCTCTTTCTGTGTGGCGCTGTGCAACCCCCATCTACATGTACGCCCGATCCTAGACAGCCACCACCATAAAAGTGAAATACACAATGAAATTTACGCAATATCCCCGAGTAACAGACTTTTCTGCGTTGGCGTTGTAATAAAATCAAAAAATAGGGAATATATATAAATGCGGAATGGGGAATGGGGAATGGAGAATAAGGGAAAAGGGAAAAGAGGGTGACAACTGGGGCAACATCAACAGCAACGACAACAACAAGAACATATGATAAAGCAGTCAGCTGAAAGTGAAACAGATAGATAGATATGGGGGCCAAAGCGGGGACTCAATGTAGTTACTCAACGCAACAGAAATAAATGTAAATCCGATTAGAATTTAAGGTTTTGTTCCTTTTCGCAAATTCCACAAAGCTGGTTGACAACTTTGGGAGAATCACCAGACTGAGGAGCGAGTGAATGTAAAAGTTGATAAATCAATATGTAGGTTAAAGGTGCGTCCATATGGTTAAAGACTAAAATCGGGTTGAAAACAGCGAGCCAGATAAAGAGATATCAGCAAAGCCGAATAAAAATAAATCACAATCTACTGCCGATTGATTGCGAGATTTATGATTCTAATTACGGAAAAATGAATACTTTATTTTTCCCTAATTGACACACTACCCAATTTGTATAATTTCAGATGCACTTTTAGAGTAGGAATCACAAAAAACCATCTTTAGCTTTTTTATATCGGCATTATTTATATTTCTTAAAAAATTAGGAAAACCAAATTTCAGCATTATTTGACAACAGATGATATATAAAATTAAAAATTTAAATCTTAGAGTACCAACAGTAAAGTCACTTTTAAAATGATGAAACTATGTTTACACTTTTTGACTCAAATTATTTATACGTCTAAACTTTATCATACAAAACCACAATTTCTTTACTTTACTATCGAAGGTTCACAATTTTAATAATTTTCTTTCGAGAAACGACTCAAGCGTCTAGAAACCCACAAAACTACATTGCAACCGAATATTTCCCATTCATTTTCCTTTTGCTTCGAATCAAATTTAATCTTTCATCGAATCGTAGTCTACTTTTTGGATTTTCTTGCATTTCTTGTCTCTGGAGGAAACGGGGCTCTTTAAGGCGGGACCAATGGACTCGCAACAAAGAAACGAGATGTTGGTCATTGTGTAGATTGCGGTGTGTTAATGGCCACGAGACGCAGACAGTCGAAACGGGAGTTACATTGACCTACACACACAGACGCACTGATTTCGAAATTTGCGCAAAAAAATTGTAACCGCAATCACCCATACACACGCACAAACGCACACTGTCACAGCGAGGACGACACACAGACACTGGGAATGATTAATTGTCAAAATATGTTGAGCAAAGCCAAAGGCACGGCGAAAAAAAGAGAGGAAAAGCGTCACAACAACATAATAAAAAGTGCGTTAGTGTGTGCGGCGATGTATGCATATGTATTTGTATTAAGTTGTCATTACGTGACTGCGGACAACAAGATTTATTATCATTTTGGGGCCCCATCGACCGCCCCTCCCCAGCACTCCCCCCTCGTCCTGCGGTGTAAAAATTCATTTGGGACTCTCGATTTTGATACTCACAGTAACTTGTTGAGCAAACTCAACCTTCGGCTGGCCGACCAATTCAATAATATGAACCATATGGAACGATTTGCTCTTGGACGTGGCGCCTTTGCGAGAAAAAATTGTAAACGATTTTCACCGATTCTGCTGGAAGCTTTTCGTATATCTTCCTCAGAAAATGACCGTTGTTTATTTGTCTAAGTTTGTTTCTTATAATTTTTATCTCTTGAATAATTCTTTTGATTACTTTTAAGCACTTTTTGAAAGTATCGTTTCGGGTTTTCACTTGAACTGTCTCTCTGTACTGGTTACTTATTGATTTTAATGTATTTTCGTGTGGTTAGCCTTCTATAATGTGTGTATGGCTTAGTGTTTACAATAATTTATCTTATCTGTATTTTCCAGTATTTAAACACACGCGTGTACTTCTCTATCTCTTTTTCTTTCTCTCTCTCTCTCTGATCTAAAATCGAATTAGAATTTGTGTTTTGTGAATATTAGATTGTGTTCACTGTAAGCATGGGTAATTCAATTATTTTCCAAGTACGTTTGGCTTGGAAAATTCTCTTGACTGTGAGTTTAATTGCTTGGAATTAAGGTGAACGCCGAGAATGGCAAGAAAATCAATCTGGGTAAATATTTATTGATGTATTTATTGTTTTTGGCAAAGCAAAATGATTTATCATTTTCATTCAGTGCACAGGCGTGCTTGTGAGTGGGGCAAAGTAGAAAATATGGAAATTTTCCGAAAAGGTGTAAATTATTTCATAGGTTTTCGAAAAAGTGTAATGTTAAAAAAAAAAAAATTAACAAACGTTTTCACAATGCACAAAAAGAATTTCCAAGCACTTCACAAATTGACAATCGTATACCATCAATCACTTTAATAAAAATGTGGAAAAAATATTCCAGTAAACATTTCACATCGACTTGGAACAAAAATGTAAACTCTTCCAATGCACATTTTCTTTTCTATGTCACTCCAGAAATGAAAGCCACCTCCCAGGAATATCAAAAATTAGTAATGCGATTTACGACCATTTCAACACTCATCGATAATCAAAATCATTTCGGTATTGGGCCAGAGAAAATAATTTACTGTGAGTGTGGACGGTTTGGGCCACATCAAAGCGGCAGTAAAACAGTTTAACCAACTGAAAAATTTCTACCAAATACTGAAATAGCAAATCGCTGGCCAAAGAAAGGAAAATCATGCTCTGCTGGCCAAAAATCATTAAGAGCAATGCATATTCAATTAACAGGGCCATATACAAGTATATTGGCAACTAGCACTGGCACACAGCTACACAACTACACTTGGAATACAACAAAGTACAGCAAACAAAACAGATTTTGGCGAAAAATGGTTTCAATGGGATCGAGTGCTGGAGAATCGGAATCGAATTCGGAATGCCATGGAGATGGAAACGAAATTATGGAATGCTCAAAATATTCAAATTCAATGTGAGAAACGCTTTCGGTGCTACGCGCTGCTTTGCTTTTGGCTTGGTTTGCTTTAGTTTGGTTGGCTTTTTGGGCCAAAATTTTAATTGAAAATGTTTTCGTGTGCTGCGAGCGTGAAACAATTTTCGTTCGTCTGTTTATCTGGGCAAATTGAAAAAAATACATCGAGAATAAAACAGAGCGTGGAAAAATTTCCAAAAAAGTAAACCTCAGGCCCAGAGAGAATAATAAAAAACAAAAAAAAAAAAAAAAACAACCTGATCGGCAATTGGGTTTCCTCTCAGTGTCCAGTTCTGTTTGGAAATTTGGTTGTTTACAAATTGTTTCTAATTATTTTCGGGTTTGTTTATCATGGCAGTCGGTCTATTTCTGGAGCTAATGTTAATGATGCTGATGGAGAGATTTAACAGGAATCGAGTTCTAATGAGTCAGAAGGGAGTATCATCTATGGGAATTATGTACTTTGGAGCATAAGTTTGGTTTTCAGGGTGATCTTAGTGGTAATTGCCCTTGCTTACAGATTTAACAGTTATATATTTGAATTAGTTGTAGCTTGTTTTGTGTTATGGGATTGAGTAAACGAATTTTGTAAACTTTGTTTGCGATTTTTGTGGCGAATTTGATTTGATTAAATTGGCTGTTATATTTGTAATATATTTTTGAAGCGAATTGAAATTTTTTAATTTTAATTGGTTGGTTTTCTTTGGTTTGGTTTGGTTTCGTTTGGTTTGGTTTTTGGTTGCTTGTTTTGTTTTGCTTAAATCTTTTTCATTGAATATTCGTAATTTGTATTATCGCTGCGTCTCAATATGCGTTTCTGAATCGAAGAACAAATGTCACACGACAGTCGACGAGAACTATACGAAATATTCCGACTTAACTACACAGAACTCAATATCATACTGAAAAAGGACGGCGCTTACAACGGCGTCCAGAGCCCCAAAGATCCGAACCGAACCCGAACAAGTCCCTCGTCCGAACCCGAATCGCACCGAACTTACGCCCACCCGACCAATTCGAACCAGCGAACGCAACAGCCCAACACGCCGGCAAAACAACAACGCGCTCACGTTCGCGGTGGAAAGCGCATGGGTGGTGGTGGGTGGGGTGGTTGTTCCACCCCCACGGCCGTTCGGCACATTTGCCGAGCGTTGCATCGAACATGTGTGCCGTCGAACCGGCGCGTTCATAGCGCTCACAGCGTTCAAAGCCGAAGTGTCGTATGCTCTATCGGATCTGATGGGGTTGTAACCTCGAGAGGGGATGTTTGCTGCCACTGATAATGGCTCGCTTGTTGCTCGCGAGGCTTCTGATTAGAAGTTCTGATGGCAGATCCTCCGGATCACCAGCTGGTAGCCAGTCCAATCGAACTGGAGTGCACAATCGCGGCACTTTGGGGCATAACAAACACAGCGGCAAACACGCCGAATGGCGGCACTCTAGCTGAGCAGGCTGGAAAACCCAACAAGGCCTAAAGGGAAAATCCCCGAACCGTCGGAATCGTGACTCGTGTTAGCCGATTCACGCGCAGGCGAGGCTCTCTCGCTAGCGCCCTCTCGCTCTCGCTCTCCAGGCCCCCGTTTCGAGGACGGCGGGTGCGAGCGAGACGGCCAGACGGTTAGTTTTGGGCCCTAGATATGTAAGGTGCCTTGTGTAGTGGAGCGGAGTGCATCTGAGTGGGAGAGCGCGAGAGCCAAGTGCCGGGCTTACTGGCTGGTTGTCTGCCCGCCGATTGTAGGGGGTACTCGTAGGGTATTCAAAGGGTGGCGGTGGTGGGTGGTGGGTGGTGTTGGGTGGCAGTGGGCGGCAGCCAAGGGGAGTTATGATGAGGCCGAACCGTGCAGATTGGCAAAAACATGTGCGTTTCACTGCCCCTCCACTGCTCGGTGGAGAACTCGTGGAGTTGTGGAAGTTGTTTTTGCATTTTCTGTTTTGACTGGAAGTGCTCATCATTGCGATGATAATTTTCTGTTGAATATTTATGAAACACATGACTCACAATGTGATTAAGGCTGCCGCCTAGATGGCCCAAAAGGCGAGCCACACACAACGTGGCTGGAAAGCTACGCCAATAAGAGCAACGAAGAGAGTTCTCTAAGAGCGTTAGTCCTTGCTGAAGAGCGAATGGGTAGTACGCACCCACACAGGCACACCATTCACCGAAATTCACCGAAATGTTGGCAAATTCATCATCATGAGCTTGATGTTGATGACGACGCACGAAGACAGGAAGAAATTAATATGCGAAACGCAACAATTTTTGCCAACTACAACATCCACAACAACATCCAAAGCAGATGGAGAAACACTTTTTTAGTAGGGCTCAGAGCCGGCAAAAATAACAGCAACAAGGAAAACATCTGCGAGGCATTGAATAATGCCAGCCAAGTTTTGGGGCGCGGCTTGTTGTGTTTTTTTTTTCCACGGGGGTTTCCCCTTATGGCCGAGACACACTTTTGGCTTGTACTGCGAATCGGTTATGGCTGTGATTGATTTCCCAAGGTAATTTCGCAAAGAGACCCCTTATGAAAATATAATTGGGCACGAATACCGATTACTGCCAGCAATCATGACTTTACAACTGTTGGTGGTTTTAAGTAGTACGAAATAGTAGTAAGAAATGAATACGCAAAATGCCTTTAAGAATGATTTGATCTATTGGGCTTCTACTGATTTTCAGTATTATACTTTTTATGAATTTTCAGTGGAAATTATTTTAAATGGGATTTAAAAATATGTACCAATAGAAGCACTAAGAAGTGTTAAGAATCGCTTTGTTTGGATCGGCTGCTCATTGGTTTTGTGTGAAAGCCATCAATGCCGGCCAATTCCCGCTGGCCAGCTGCTTTTATCCGCCAGCTAATATGCCAAATCCATCAATAGTCAGCTCGATTTGGTCGAGTTCAGTTCGGCTGAGTTCAGTCAGTCATTCATTCAAGCTGCTAACAATCTCCGCCGTTGACAGACTCGGAAACCTAACAACCTGCCAAAGCAGCAATGAATGTCGTCTACTCAGTTGCCTGTCCATCTGGCCCGCTCCACCCGCCGATCACCAACCCCCTCCCCCGCCCTCTACCACTCGCCACCCTGCCCTTTAGCACCACCCCAACCACCAACCATCAGCCACCACCCACCACCCCACGGCACTCCATTCAAGCGTTATTATTGTAGCTAGCTGTTATTCTTTTCCTGCTATTTTTGCTACGCGCTTTTTGCTCTCGGTTCTTTGTGCGTGGGTGTCTGTTTCTATCTCTCGATGTATTTGTGTGTCACTAGGATACGCAGAAGCATCACGCGCCACAGCCACCCAGCCATTCCGCCCAATGCATCCATCCAGCAACCACTAGAGCAGTCGGAACCGGAGCTTCAGGACCCGTCAGGACCTCATCCTCGTCCTCATCCCGCTTCCCATTCCCCGGCGACCGTGGCCGCGTTGTCTTGGAGTTTTTCAATTTGATATGCTCGACCGATTTTCGCTCATTTCAAGCGCGGGACAACGTTGTCAGCATCGTCAGTCCGGCGATGTTGTTATTGTTTCCTCGCGTTGCGCTTGTCGTCGCCAATTTATCGCATTTTTACTTTGATTTTGCGTTAATTTTTGGACATCAACAGCCGCGCCGCTCCTCCCGAGAGGCTCTCGTTTTGCGGACCGAGTTTGCTGTGTATTTAGCGCTAAATGGTGTGTTGATATTTTCCTTCTTCTATCTCCAGAGCATTTTCCCATGCCCCCTGGCTCCGAATCCTGCTGCCCCTGCTGCCCCTGGAGGCACTCAAGTGCGAAGGCATATAATCAGTGTCAAGATGGCGACGATGATATGAAATCAATTTTACAAGCCGAGCAAGCTATGTAGTTGATGGAATGCTAAGCGTAAAGCTGACTGAGAAATTCTCAGCAGTTCCACCGCCAAGTGTTGGCCAGAATAGATACGCGGTGAATCCGTCCAGTACAGACTGGTATTCCTTTTTATTTTTGAGTTATTGAATCAAGTCTAGCTGGCCTAAGTCTTCGTGACGAAAAGCTGATAAGATATGATATTTAGTTTAATATTTCTTGGAATAAGCCGAGATGAAATGATTGTTTGATGGGGAAATTAAGAATCTCCAGCCAGTAGTATAATAGGGCATGCTGTTGATAATTATTATACAGAATATTACGCTTTATTTGCTATATAAATTTCATTTCAACTTGTGGAATATACCCTTCTTCAGGAGCACTTGCAATGAATATAAGAGAACGGGTTTAATGTGCACTAACTTATTATTGCAAAAAGGAAATAAGGAAAAGGGAACTTCTTCGAAAACGTTGAACGCCATACTAACAGGGCTCTTAGGGCATTTTACGAATCAGTTATGAAACGGAAGGCGACTGGTTATGGGCTAAATACACTCAACTTATCGCTTTTAACATATTTTCAGACGTCTATGCGCCGGAACTTTGCTGTACGGTACGACATTATTAAATCCTAAACTGGCAATAAATTCAATAAAACGAAAAATCACCAATGATTTTTCTGCCATTTACTTGGACTTTATGCAGTTGGACATTATCTGACACTCCCACGGCCCCATACAAACCTATACACATAGCCACTTACACCAAGTCAATGTCATTTGGATTTTACATCTTCTATACGTACAACAAGTCGTTAGGCCGAGTCGGGCACTCAGCTCCAGAACCATTGCCTTTATGCATCAACGAGCACACAAAAGTGGAGGAGCCCTCCGCATCCGCATCCGCATCCCCATCCGCAGCTCCTTGCCCCACCACATGGTCGATATTTATGCGAAAATCAAGCGATAAATCTAAATTATATGCCAGTGCTAAAGCTAATGCCAGAGCAGCCATGACGGGGCAGCCTGGGCTCGTGAGCCACCCATCCTCCTGCTCCTGCTCCAGATCCCATTGCCCATCCTTGCACAAGGAGTATTATTATGATGATTAGGCATCCTTCGAATGGCCTAATTAAAAACGAAACGAGTGGAGATGCTGATAGATTTTGATTATCATATAATTAGGAGGAGTCTCGTGTGCTCTGGGCCGCATTTGTCATCATCCATCAGGAGCGAAAAGGTCGCCGAGCGGTATACTTTTCCAGATGCCTGTCAAAAGTTGGCCCCCGACGAACACTGAACCCAAACTGAATGTCCTGTCATACATGTCGCAAAATTTCATTACGTCTGCTACGTTCCTAGTGCTGTGTCGTCAAGTTTTCGTTACGCTGTCAGCCGGAGGCGAAGGGGTCAGAGGGCACCACATCCTCGGCATCAGCAGAAACGCTCTGCGGTCGAAAATTAATGAAAATTTCATAAACTGACGGGGCCTATGTCAGTATGTCTGCATGTGTATGTGCGTATCCGTGTAGCTGTCTCAGCAGCAGCAGCAGCAGAAGCAGCAGCAGCAGCAGAAGCAGAAGCCATCGCAGTGTTTGCGGTTTGCCATCATAACTTAATTAACAGCCGCACAGCCCAAGCGTTCTGTCTCGAAACCCTAGGCCAATATCAATCCCAACAGCCAGTCGAAACCAAACCAAACGAATCCAATCCCATCCAATCCAATCCGGTCCCAACCCCGTGACCTGATGTCCCCCCGAGCACTGATAGATACTGGGCATGATTCGCTGTCATCCCCTGCTTTGCATCTGACCCATCTAGGGCTGATCAAGTTATAAATAGTATTTCATA